ATATATATATATTCTGTAAATTAGTAAATGATGACAAAATGTTCATTTTCGCAAGAACTATTCCTTAATAAATTATTATAAATATTTTTGTTGGATTATTTATATTGAGTCAAGTAATACATCTGCCAGTTAGGGTGGTAGTTTAGTGTAGCAGAAAATAAATCTACAGTAAATGTTTAAATATTAAATATTTTGTTCTTAATTATAAGAACAGGTCAAGTTTACAGTATGATGACACAATAAATAACCAGTTACAAAAAATAAGTTAATAATAATAGTTCACGGCTTTCATAAAACAAAAAGAGGTTTTCTTAGTATTTTTGTTTTCCAGTACTAGTTTCTAAACATTCTTGAATCAAGATGCATTTACTTCAGAAGCAAAATGATTTAAGATATTATGATTTATTTTCTGAAAAAAAAAAAGCGTTTGCTTACAACAAGAAAAAAATATATCTGCCAATTAGGCGAAGAAAAATAATCTTGCTTTGCCTTTGAATAAAGATTATATTTCTTACCCTTTTTTTTTTTTTTTGTAGCAAAGAAGTGCAAAGTTGCCCATTTGAGAAGGTTGGTTCCTTGTAATAGGCCTTTTGAAGCAGCGTTTAGCACTTCTGTTTGGAATGACCATGCAAAATGGCTGCTATATTGCTCTCCTTCCAAAGATATTATGCTGTTTTTAATGCACTCAAAATCTCATAAGTCATAGGAAACCAATTTATTTCCTTATTAACATTGCTCTACTTCATAATGGGGATAATAAATCCATCATAGACTGTCCTATTAAACTCTTTCAGTCACACTGATGTTTCCCGTTTGTAAGCAAAGCGCAATACGACTTCAATCGTAAGCAAGCGGCTTCAGAGACTTGAAAATCACAGCTAGGCTGATTTGTCTTTGATGTCTCATTAAGACTGCATGAAACCTGGTCGAAACAGGCAGCAAAGGGAGAGAAAAATAACATTAGCCTTTAGCAGTGGGGAAAAAGTACAACATTGTGCAGATCCCAAGCATGCAGAAGGCTCTCCACTTTCAACCGGACCACCTAAAAAGTTGCGTCAATAAACGCAGCATGTACAGAGGGGGAAAAACCCTCACAGGTTTTCTCAAACAGCACACACCCAAGCCTAACTCCCACAACATGACTATCACGCTTGGCTTTTTAACACAAACACAACCTTATTCAAAGGTGTGACCTTTATCTTTATGATGTAAGTACTTGTATTCTGAGTCACTGAACTCGTAGGCCTTTTTTACATGAATGAATCCCCCAACAGACGGTTAAATCGGACAATATTTAGCGCGATAGTTGTGAGCGCGATAGCGTCAACCTCATTTCTGTAGTTCTTTTCTTAGAACAGAAGAGGTCTGTGTTTACACTGCGCAAATGGTTAATCTAGCAGAGCTCTGTTCTCTCACAATGAGCCCTCCAAAACTAACATTATGAAACGAACGGCACAAATTACTACCAAAATAGTGAAGTACTTCAAAATAAACCCAGCTGATTTCAACTTTCATTGAAATATTAGCCCATTTTTCCACCTTTTATGCTCTTTACTACATGAGGAATAAGTTGTAAACATTTGGAAAGGCCTGTGTTTTTCTTGTCAAGAAATGTCTGGGTTAACATTTCCTTTCCTCTTAAGATCAAAGGCTGTGGCGCAGTGAATGCTGAGTGCTCATTGGCTTAAAATACACAGATTAAAGGTATGCAAACCTGGGTAACCCAAGTATTGTCTTTCCTGAGAGCGACTTACTCTGATTTGGTCAACTCTTTGTTGTTAATTTTATCTTAACAACACTAAATCCTAATAATTGTAAGTCCAAAAATCAGCAGGCCACAAATATATACAGGTGTGATAGAGAGGCACTAAATAAAAGTTTCAGGTGTAACAGAAGTTAAAATCTGACAGCATTTGTCAAAAAAAAGTATTCTTAAATGTAATTAAAATATATTTATGAAAATGTTTTCTCCCAACATATCTGTAGACAATTTTGATATATTTTTGAAAATATATTTTAAATATAGATTTTAATTATATATATATATGACTTTTTATATATTTTGACTTTTGAAAGGTGTACCACAGGGGTCAGTCCTTGGACCACTTTTATTTATTTTAGATATTAATAATCTTGGGATAATATCGCACATTCAAATTTTCATTGATATGTCAACAACATGGTGATTTACTCCTCTGCATAAATGCTGAATTAGGCTTTGAGACATCCTCATTACAACATTTTGTCGAAATTTTGCGCACAAAAATGTCCATTGTTAATAGTGTAGCAATGGACAAAGCACCGCTTATACTGAGGTCTCTTTCAAACCATGCAGCTTTTTGTAAACCAACACTGTGAATTTGCATTGCCATCTTGAATCCGATGTGAAATTTCAGTTCGCAAGGATTCCTATTGAAAAGATTGGATTTCACCCACCAAATTTGGCCAAGCAACAGTAAATGTGATATTTATTGCTATTTTGTCAAATTCGGGTAAAATCCAGTCATTATAATATGAAACATTTGCCCCAGATTTTGAATTGGGCTTTTCCACACAAATTTGCCACATTGATCTACAGAAAGCTGCTTGATTTGAAAGTGCTTCACACCTCATTATACTATTGACAATGGATCTTTTTGTCTCTAATGTGACTGCATTTTTTAGTATACATAGTGGTAAGTAAAGATTAGCAAAATCTTAATTTGATAAGTAGTGATGCATTTGATTATATTTAGCTTCAGTAATGTACTGTATACATTTTTTCATGATTAAGACTAACCACTTGGTAAAGCAATGACTGTCATAAAGCTATCATTTCTAATCAGGTACTGAATATTGTACTCATGAAAAGGTGTCTTATAGCCAATGGAATCGCCTAAAAAATGAGTTGAAATTATTGAAATTATCAGCATTATTCCAAAAAAGAATCCCAAGAGTTCCTTTAAGCATTTCTGCTTCATCCCGCACAATAATTCACTTAAAGTAATTCACTCCGAACACTTGTCTTCTCATGAATTATGCTCTGACATTTTTTGCCTCTCCAACTTTTTAAAAAATGATTTTGACTGCTATTTTTAGAGGCACCTCATTAATGTTAGATTAAAACCAAATTCTGCCATTAGTGATGCATTTGATTATATTTAGCTTCAGTAATGTACTGTATACATTTTTTCATGATTAAGACTAACCACTTGGTAAAGCAATGACTGTCATAAAGCTATCATTTCTAATCAGGTACTGAATATTGTACTCATGAAAAGGTGTCTTATAGCCAATGGAATCGCCTAAAAAATGAGTTGAAATTATTGAAATTATCAGCATTATTCCAAAAAAGAATCCCAAGAGTTCCTTTAAGCATTTCTGCTTCATCCCACACAATAATTCACTTAAAGTAATTCACTCCGAACACTTGTCTTCTCATGAATTATGCTTTGATAAAGCATAAAATGAATTATGACATTTTTTGCCTCTCCAACTTTTTAAAAAATGATTTTGACTGCTATTTTTAGAGGCACCTCATTAATGTTAGATTAAAACCAAATTCTGCCATCTTTTCAAACCAAACCAAGTGAATGACAAATGAAACATGGATTTAGAGGGAGGAATGTTATATAGCTGTCTGCCTGTTTTCGCTAATGAGCTTTGCCTGTTTCCTTTTATGTTGCTCAGTTACAGACTAACACGAGCACCAGCAGCATATTCCAGAACTGTGGAATTACCTTTAGTCTACAAAACTGAGAAAAAACGCAGTCCTTTGCGGAAAATCTCTAGCGACAGCTGCGACATCTTGCTATTACATTAATCTGAATGAACATTTGTAATATTAAAACCATCATCCCACCACTTGACACTGACCCAATTAATTAAATCTTCGGGCAGCAGAAAACTTAAAATAGCTCATAAAAAATTAGCTGAACATCCTAAATAGAGCAACATAAGCCAATTTACCCATGACATTTTTAATGCAACTATAGAAAAACTGGCTTTTTCCATTCAAATAAAGTGGATGGCGACCTTCATGTGGACAGTGACCACAAATTTTGCCTAAATCTAGGTGGCCCTGTCTAAACGGATAAGATCGATGTTGAGTCCTAGCAAAGATTTGGAGGGAGACTGTGTCGATGTCCCTCTTGGGTCCATCATCACCCTTAATGATGGGAGGTCTCTGGCTTGTCCTGGTAACTTTACAGCAATTGCCCGCTGTATGGCTCCCGCCTCTGTTATGGTTACTGCCGGAAAAAAGCAAAGTGGTAAAATCATTACAGCTGTCCTGATGAAGTGCTCACTGCGACCCTATTCAATGACATCCCAGGTGTTCAATTGGGCCTCGTAGAAGCTTCATTTCAGAGTGATTTGGTTTGATGAAGATATGTGGTAAAGTAAATGTATCAGTAGGGGGTGAGCGGTTGTCAACACATGGGATAAAATTGAGTTTTTAAAGCTGAAAGGTCAATTTGAAAAAAAATAAAATCATGCATTGTGACTTTCATAATAATAAAATAGCTGACATGTTGTAATAATAATAATAATAATATTGAAATATCACTGTTGTTGGATTAGATGTCTTTAATGCTGATTTAACTAGAAGAACTGTAATTACATTTACGTAAAGTTTTATGTAATACACTGTAAAAATATCAATATATTAATATTTGAATATTTATATTTATAAATATTAATGGACAATAGGAAAATATTAGATAAAACTTTACAACAGGTTCCACTTGCTAACATTAGTATTAGTTAACATTAACTAACAAAAAATTAATGAAAAAAAAAATCTAAAGCATTTCTTTATTTTAATGGTAGTTTTAAACTAAAATTCACTCAAATTAAAAGTCTCAACTGTTAGAACTAATAATTGAACACTATTTTAACATATCGATAAATACTGTAACAAATGTACTGCTCATTGTTAGTTAATTTTAATTATGAATTATTGTTAACTAATAGAAAGTGTAAAAGTGTTACCAAATAACAGAATAATAAGTACGTCAAAAAAAACTCAATAGTTCACCATTACAGAAACATAATAGCAATGACAATTTGCAGAGAAAAGGTACTAAACTGTTGAAAATAGTGTCACACTGTAAAAGAAAAATCAAGGAAATCTCCTAAAATTGCATTTTAATTTTCTTTAAAAAAAAGAAGAAAAAAAAGATTTTGGGTGGAGATATGATCCAGACGTACTCATAGCCACCACACAGTACTGTTGGTTGTTGGGTGCTAATAGGTAGCGTCTGATTAGTTCTGTTTTCCAGCTCTTGTCGTTGGTTCACTGTTCTCCAGCTCTTTGTAGTTGGCCGAGGTAGTGGCAACCCCCCCATGGCAGGACGCTGACATCAGTCTGTCTGGGGGGGGGCACTGACTCATTCTGACATCATGCCGCTCTCGCATCCGCCTGATGGCAACCATATCGCTGCTTCCACCTGATTGCTTTCTTCTTCTGCTTGGGCTCCATCTGTCAGCAATCATCTGCTTCACAGCCCAACTTGGCCTTTTGTTCACCAATTGGCCCCACATGCCAGCAATCTTCCGATCAGCATCCACACATCAAGTCCATCTCTGTTTGTTTCCCGCGATGCTAATCACCTGTTTACGTGTCCAAGCTCCACTTCCATGACACGCTGTCCCTGCTTAGCCAAACTTCAAAAGAGCAAACACTGGACTTCACTCGTATAAGACCTGAAAGATACTCTACGCACACAATTCAATTTCCAGCTCTTGTCGTTGGTTCACTGTTCTCCAGCTCTTTGTAGTTGGCCGAGGTAGTGGCAACCCCCCCATGGCAGGACGCTGACATCAGTCTGTCTGGGGGGGGGCACTGACTCATTCTGACATCATGCCGCTCTCGCATCCGCCTGATGGCAACCATATCGCTGCTTCCACCTGATTGCTTTCTTCTTCTGCTTGGGCTCCATCTGTCAGCAATCATCTGCTTCACAGCCCAACTTGGCCTATTGTTCACCAATTGGCCCCACATGCCAGCAATCTTCCGATCAGCATCCACACATCAAGTCCATCTCTGTTTGTTTCCCGCGATGCTAATCACCTGTTTACGTGTCCAAGCTCCACTTCCATGACACGCTGTCCCTGCTTAGCCAAACTTCAAAAGAGCAAACACTGGACTTCACTCGTATAAGACCTGAAAGATACTCTACGCACACAATTCAATTCAAACACACAAGTATGAGAAAACGAAACTATTTAAGTTTCTACTAAAGTGGTGATTTCGTATGAATTTGTACCATGTGATACGTACGAAAACATTTGATTTTTAGAAAAAAGCAAGCGCGAAGGTCCATCCCTAAACCTAACCATCAGTGGTGTGTGAACAGATTGTATAAAATCATATGAATGAGATCGTATAAAAATCACTGATTCGCCAAAACGTAACATAGGTACAAATTTTACGTAGTGATGGGCTATTTCGAAACACTGCTTCTTGAAGCTTCGAAACAATTACAAATGTTTTGTTTTAAATGAGTGGTTCAGAGCTTATGGTTGCCCATTTCCACCACTGAATTAAAAATAAAAAGAGGTATTTGTGACTTTTTATATTTTTTTCCCCCTCACAATTGTGAGTTTACATCTTGCAATTCTTTTCTCTCAGAATTGTGTGATATAAACTTGCAATTTGCAAAAAAATGAAGTCAGAATTGTGCGATGCAAACTTGTAATTCTGACTTTTTTCGCGCAATTGTGAGCTAAAAAGTACAATTATGAGTGGAAAAAAAGACTGGTATTTTCTTACGATTGTCAGTTTATATGTCACACTTTATAACTCACAATTCCGTGTTACAAGCTCAGAATTGCGAGATATGAACTCACAATTCTGAGAAAAGAATAATTGTGAGATATAAACTCATCAGAATTGTAAGAGAAAAAAAAAGAATCGCACAATACTTGCAAGTCAGAACGAGTCAGAACTGTAACATAAAAAGTCGCAATTACCTTATTTTTTATTTATTTTATTCCCATTTTTTATTTAGTGGAGGAAATGGACTTTCATGGGAGGTTGTGTCAAACTCTCCAAGTCAAGTCATTTTAAATGAGGATTTGTTGGGTCATACTGTTTTCAACCTTGGTTTCGAAACATTTTGTGATTCGCCGCTTGATGATGAAAACCCAATGAAAAAATGTCCAATGGCTTTAACAGATCTCAGGTCATTTTTATAATGTAGGTTTATTTTTAATTAGTGTAATGAATTTTAATACTTATGTGTGTATAATACAAAAAGGAGAGTATTTGGTTGCTTCAAAAGGGACTTAGTTTGCCAAACCCTGCCCAACAACATACAAAAAAAGCACTATACATTAATAAAACAACATACATTTTACAAAACCATCATATTTAATGGTATGTAATTACTTTTAGGTTACATTAAAAAAAAAGTAAACTGTGTCATTCTACATATTTGGGCTGAGTTTTCATTGAAGTTACACAGTGGTTCAATTGATTTAGGGTTTCAAAAATATATATATTTTCCCCATCACTACTTTCAGGTCAACTATGAAAGAGCAATAATTTGATGTGAGTCCTACTAAAGAAGTTTTTGACATGTTTATTGCTAGTGATCTGTGTTATAACACATTTATAACACATTTGTAACAGGTTTATAATACCCTATCTTGTCAAGGACTTTCCTTTTCATGTGGAATCATTTCTTAAGCCAGTTATAGTTAAGGTGTGATCATATTAGTGAAATTTATCGAGAGAAAAAAAAATGTCAATAATCTAGTGATGAATTTTTGTGGATTGCTGTTAAAAATAAGAATTTCTTCAATGAAAATCTGAAGATAAACGATCGATAGTGTAGAGATGTATGAAGCACAGCTCACTCAGTCAAACTGCCATCGTTGTGAATTTGCATGACCAACTGAACCCGATGCAAAATCTGCATGAGGGGAATCTTTCAGCCCCATGCAAAATTCCTGATTGTGTGGATTCCTGTTAAAAATATAGATTAGGCCCACGAAAATTCACAATACATGGGTTATTAAACACATATAGCTTAAAAATATCACATTTTGATTCATTGTCTATCTGCATATAACACACATGCCAGTTTCAGAGGTCCAGGCATTAACTTCTAATAAAACATATGTTTAACCAACTGTACTAAGTTGTTCATTTTCCCACATCTTATAACAATAAATAACGTGTTCTTTACTCGTAAGAACAGAACAGTCGTTGCAATGCCAAACAAGTAAAGCCCGAAATAATGAGGAAAGTATATTCATAAAAGTTGCATTCCATCTGGGAGTCCTTTAGCAAGACGACGCATCAACAAGCTTTCTTTCCAGCACTGAGCAAAGAAACAAAACAAAACAAGTGTTTGGGCAGGACTCCAGGATAACTGGGAGACACCATCATAAACAGCTGCCCTTGAGAAACTCCAATGGAAAATCAAACTTGCGGAGGACTCCCCTTTAATGTGAAGCTGCTTCTTGTGCCAGTTCATTGTTAAAACCCTGACCAGAAACCTACTATTTTTACAGGTACAATGGTATTAATTTTTAAGATAAACTGTACCCTGAAAGAAACATGCGATGAGGACGTAATTAAGCTTTATTCGAAATATGACAGATTCAACTCAAATAATTTGGTCAATTAATTTTAATAGCCATCACTGAATCACTGAACAGGGGCATCTGGCACAGTAGAGCTACACTGCTATGCATTTGACTTTATCATGGCTATAACGTGCAAATATCTGTAAATTCAGTTACTGAGGTTAACAGCCAATAATGCATGCGAATCTAAAACTTTTTGCTACATTATATGCTCAAAACCGGTCAAATTATTCTCAAAAATGTACAATAAGCCACTTAATGACTATCTGTTGTACCCATTTTGTAGTTGCTAAAAAAACAAAATGTGTAATTTCTAGTAATTTCTACAGGTTACGACAAATGTAATTGTCAAACTCTCTCCTATTGGTCAGGCAAACAAATAGTCCCGCCCTAATCTCACGGCATTGGTTAAATCAGCGTTGCTGTGTAAAAAGTACTTAAAGACTAATTGAAAATATTTTACATCATCAGAACATGGTGCAATCACACAATCTGATAAAAGGTCTTAGAGGACGTTTTTAAGAGAATATAGTTATTTTTCCATTAAAAATACAAAATGGTGGAAAATTTGGCTCACGTGTCATACTAACAAGAAATTCGAGAGCTTTAGTTCCAACCACGTAAGTTTGCGAATGTTCAATTGAACTATGGTATCGCAAAACACAGAGTCGTTGAACTTTGTTAGTAACGACGGAACTTGCGACCATATTTAGCTAACGATGCCAGGTCAGGATGCATACAAACTGAGCAAGGTTTTTGCCACCAACATACACAAATAGAGTGGTTGAACTAGGACGTCACTTTGTAGGCAAAAACCCGAAAGCGAGTTAGCATTTTAGCACTTCCGGTTCCATCGTCCCAGAGTCAATGGGTTTTTTCAATGGGAGTTTGGTTAAATCCCCTAAAATAAGGTACGTGATTCACACAAGATCAAAAAACGTTTACGTTTTATTCTACGACATAAAACACACCAGTTACACCCCACTCGTGATTTCACGACGTAACACACAGAGACAGTGTTTTCAAGAGTTGGGGAAAGTTACTTTTAAATGTAATGCGTTACAATATTGCATTACTCACTAGTAAGTAATTGCACTACTTAGTTACTTTTTATGGAAAGTAGTGTGTTTCGTTACTTTTGCGTTCTTTTTTCTTATCTGGAGTTGCTTGTTTGTTTTAATATAAAAAGTTTTATTTATATAGAACTGTTACTTATTTGCAACGTATTTGTAAAAGTAACAGATATTTTTCTTGTAAATTAAAAAGTAATACGTTACTTTACTAGTTACTTAAAAAAAGTAATCTGATTACTTGCGTTATTTATAATGCGTTGCCCTCAACACTGGTTTTTTCACTCTCGGTGTGAGATGTTTCCTACATGGTTTCTTTGCAAAGTGACCCAGATGTCATTTGGCACAAATATCATTTCTTTTTAGCTTCTGAAGCAGCGACCGCTTCAGGGCCCTCAGTGACACTGCAAAAGCGTCACAGAAACAGCTTCTCACCATTTGTCAAAAACTTTATATGCGACAGATTGACTGATTGCCATTGGAGACAAAGCATTAAAGGGAGAGTTCAGTCAAAAATAAACATTATGTTATCATTAACTCACCCTCATGCCATTTCAAATCCATAAGACTTTGGATATCATCGTAACACTAACCCGAGAGATTTCTGTCCCTCCAAGTCCATTTCACTATTTTTTTAATCGCACATTGTGTGTTAATTATTTTCTGGCTGTTTTTGCGGATCTATGAAATGAAACATCCTCCTTTGATGTTGAATTACTAATGCATGAAGCACATTTACAAAACATTGTTCTTTCCTTCACCTCTCATGTTGAATCACACATGGCAGACAGTAAAAAAGAGCCATGTTTAACCACGTTTGCATTACAAAACAAGACAGAAATATAATAGCTTGCACGAGTTCCAGGTCATTGTCCTCTTGCACTTTGTTTATTGGTTGTTTGGGGTTTTCCTAAAATGTTAATTTTGCCAAGCAACCCTCTTTTTCCATGTATAATAATGTTTTATACATATTTTATAGTTGCCTTTTATATCCTAAGGATTTATCTTCTCATTTTTGAAAGGAGTCTTTTTTTTGTCAGCTCGTGTAGTGTGTGAACCCCTGTTGCGGATCATTTACATAGTGTCACGTAGTGTGAACACCACAACGACTTCAAGACAGACAGCAAGTCATGTAGTCTGAATAGCACAGCGATCTGCTGATGTTTAAAGTCGTGTAGTGTGAACTAGGCTTTACCTGCTCTACCTACCTGTTTGTCGAAGCCATCCCAGTTGTCTGCCATCATCTTGTCTTCCTCCCAGCACGTTTTCACAGCCTCACCCTGCAAAGAAACCTCAGTGACTGTTAAGCTAAGTCTTTGCTCAAGATTATCAACTATATTATCTCACCTGTGATCATTGCTTGCTCCTCTCCTGAAGCCTGTAATAAAGCTCTGTGAGACCATCATTTACCTGTGTTGTCTCCTGTTTGTTGACAAAATGTTTGAATGGTATCTCTTTAATACTTGATTCTGTCTGCATCATTGTGCGCTAAAATAATTTTGTTTTATGATCGAAACTGTGCTATAACTGACTGTTGTTTCAAGCAACTGATGTCCTACGTACCTGTGATAGTTTCATATCTCTCTTTCATCTTACATAATAAAATAATTTCTCAAATTAATATTTCATGTCACTTTAAAAAAATCTCACCTATTTCAATTAAAAAACTTAAGTTCAGTTCGTGCCATAAATTTTTAAGTATAATCAACTTGGTTGTGTACGTCATTTCAACTTAAATTATATTAAAACAGAGTTTTTTTTACAGAGTAATGGAGATTTTTGGTAAATAATATGTAAAATTAATGTTGTAATAAAATTATTTAAATATAAATTTAACAAATATAAATATTGTATATATCTATTTAAATATTATTAAAAAATCAGTTAAAAAATATGTTACATTATGAAAGTAAAAAATAAAATAACATTTCTGAACACCATCTCGTGTAAAAGAGCGAGTTTATAAAGAAAGATTACCAAAATTTGGTTTACAGAACTTAATTATTTGCGCTCTTCAATTCTCCAGAGCCATTGAGCAAAGTGAAAACCCACGTTTGTGCACAATTACAATCCAGAGTGAGAGTCCAGCAGTACAGGGCAACTAGGAAAGAATGCTATGTTAAATATTAATCACTGTTCTGTGCTTCTCCACTCCCTGTGCTTTCCACCAAAACTGTGTTTTCCACCAAAAAAGGCTAAATAAATGAATAAATAAACAATTAAGGAACATCAAAACAAGACCATGCATTTAAGAGCCAAAATTTTGGAAGCGCGGGATATTTCCACAAGTGTTTTTCATAAAATTGCTCCGTGTGGAAGCAGTACATTTGGGGGGCCTCGAGTTTTCGCTGGATCGGTAGGACAGAAGGCAATAAAATCCAAGGGTAACCCTTAAATAGCACGAGAGGAGACTGTCATATGCTTTAAATCAGCGGCTTCTCAACCCAAAAATGGCACACAGGCCTTTTTTTTTATTTATTTTTTTGATGATCATAATTAATATATGTTCATAGATTTCGTCACCGTTTCAGGTCGCTACTTCATGTCCAATCTAAACTCTTGAGTCCTGAAGCAAAAGCGCTGGTTTAAATTTCCCGAAAATCAGGTGTCGATTAAGACAAGTATATTCATGACATCATACTCCGGAATACATTTTCAAATCCCACGTTCTTGAGAAACATGAGAACATTCCGATGACAATAAACGTATTGTGCGAATCCGTCTGAAAACTGGCGGGAACCGCCGAGATATGACATACGTAATCCGAAGAAGGTGGCACAACAGGGCGCCTACCTGGGCTTTAAGTGAAGGCAGATTGTAAGCTGACGAAAGGCTGTTCAGAGGGGGTATGGAACAAATTACAAAGCCTGGTAATGCATGAAGATCTAGAAGATAGTCAGAGGCTTGGATCAAACAGCCATCACCTAACGAGGTAAGCGTGATGGACGAAGCGACCTGCTCCTGGCTCTGCCGTTCTCCGTGTTCACGCTAATACGTGCTTTTCTCTCCCGAACGGAGAAAGTGAATTTGAATGATTTACTCATTCACGCTCTCGGTGAGCAATGGAAACTCTTGAATCAGTGCTAATTTTCCTATCAGCGTTAATTTCGGGCTCACCACCAACGATGCACCTTCATTTGATGTTTTCGGGGCTAAGTGGCTCAACATGTCGTCCTATGGGCCGGACTCTGAAGTCACATCCTCACATGAATGAAAAACAGCCTTATGTTTTTTCTCCTTGGCATTTTTTCTCTCTCGCCGGGGGACATGTGCATTGATATCCTGATACAAAGGAAAAGACTATTCATGTTGGCATATGGAAATTAAATAAGGTGGCACTGGCCAAAAACGACTTGACTTTGGTGGATTTGTACTTTTTTTTTTTTTTCTGAACACATTTCAAGTAGGGTACAACGGTAGAAGCTCCATTAAATAATTTTTGTGTTGTGTTGTGTTGTGTTGTGTTGTGTTGTGTTGTGTTGTGTTGTGTTTTGTTGTGTTGTTGTGTCGTTTTGTTTTGTGTTGTTTTGTGTTGTTGTTTTGTGTTGTTGTGTTCTGTTGTGTTGTGTTGTGTTGTTGTTTTGTGTTGTTGTGTTGCTTTGTGTTGTTGTGTTGCTTTGTGTTGTGTTGTTTTGTGTTGTGTTGTTGTTTTGTGTTGTTGTGTTGTGTTGTTTTATTTTGTTGTTTTGTGTTGTTGTGTTGCTTTGTGTTGTGTTGTTTTGTGTTGTGTTGTTGTTTTGTGTTGTTGTGTTGTGTTGTTTTATTTTGTTGTTTTGTGTTGTTGTGTTGCTTTGTGTTGTGTTGTTTTGTGTTGTGTTGTTGTTTTGTGTTGTTGTGTTGTGTTGTTTTATTTTGTTGTTTTGTGTTGTTGTGTTGCTTTGTGTTGTGTTGTTTTGTGTTGTGTTGTTGTGTTGTTTTGTGTTGTTGTGTTTTGTTTTTGTAAGCATAGGATGATCCAAATACACATCTACATAAATCATTTAGATTTATAAATAATGTTTTTGTATTTGTTTACATATACTAGAGTTTTCTTGGAGGTTTGTGAAAAACTGCAGAGAGTTTGTGAGTTGATGAAAAGCTAATAATTAATTATATTATAAAAATGTTAAAAAAAATTTAAAAAAAAGTAGACTAAGTAAATAGATAGATAGATAGATGATAGATAGATAGATAGACAGACAGACAGACAGATAGATAGATAGATAGATAGATAGATAGATAGATAGATAGATAGATAGATTGATTGATTGATGTTTACTTGCATGTAATGGGACCATTAACCAATATCAAAGAACATGTGAATGTGTTATAAAACTTTTGAAATATTAACCTAAAATCTCATAGGGTACTTTAAGTAAATATTTTATGTCAAAAGGCTGACAAAAATGTTTGGGAATCCCTGATATACACAAGTAAGACAGTTAGTCAAAGATAAATAAATTAAATAAATAAATAAATACAAATACAAACATACAAAATAAATAAAAAAATAAAGATTATTTCAGAGATTATTATTACCTTTACATAAGCAGCATTTTAAAAATGATTATATCTAAGATAAAATAGCCTCAAAATCAATATTTATACAGGAAATGACCTCAGTATTTTTGCATGCAATGACCTCATGGATCAGGATAGTGACAAACAGCTGTTCAGGAAAGTACTGAAGTGGCATTTGATGCTATTTAAGTGTTTTGGGAGGGGAAAAAAATGTCTAAAGTGCCCTTTACCCAGGGGGCCCTGTTGTATCTTACCTACTTGCGAGTCTGTTGTCCATTGCATTGCCTAATTCTCATTACATGGGGAAAAATAAATCAATAAAATTCTCATTAAACTATTTTGTCTACGCTTTTTTAAAATATATATATTTTTTAAATAAATCTCATTATCCTTAATTGTGACACTCTTACTGTAATGCTGGATGTTTTTGTAATGTGATTTAGTATTTATTTTATTATTATTATTATTATTAATAATACCACTACATTCAGTATAAAACAATAGTAAGATTAAACCAAGTGAGATTCTGTGTCATTTCTCGAGTTTTCTCTTCACTGTGTTCTGTTATAT